GGCAAATGGGCCAAATGGCCTGCTTCGGGAAGCTGTGCGCAGACGGCGGAACTGGCTTGGCCAGCGGAGAAGCCTATTATTACTAATTTAGAGTGCATTTAGGATAACATTTTTGTTAATTTGTTTTGGAGATAATAATCAAAATTTTAGTTGACTATAATTTGTTTGTTGTTTTCTTATGATTGAAAGTTATTTTTTTTTTATCAAAATAGCTGAGTTAATTTCTTCACAATCAATTTTATAAAATATTATAATTATTCCAAACGAATATTTTGTGATCCATAAATAGTAAATTTAACCTATGAGTTGGAAAAAATATTAATTTAAAATTAATAAAAACACATGTCATGTGGCTGTTCTGACACAATTATTAACACTAATATAAAAGATATTAAGTCTACAAGTCTATCCAACCGGACAAATAAAGTTTGTTAGTAGATGCGTTGATGTCAGATGGTCCCTACATTTAATTAATTGGCCCGGCCCGAATTATTGCTCTTAAGTATGGCATCTCTCATCTTATTCTCATGTCAAGCAGGATGCATTAGAAATAATTCAATATTAAGGTCAATTTTTTAGTACAAAATTATTTTTTTTATTAAAAAATTATTTTAAGAAGTTGTAAGAAAGTCGTCCCAAATGAAATCTAAAACAATGAATTTGAATTTATTCACTTCTTATCTCTCGTAGCATTAAAGCACTCTGTGCCACAATTATGCAAATCAGAATAACATAGCTAGGAAGAAGTAATCATTCTTATGATTTTGTGGATTATTTTGGCTGGTTGGGTCCTCCTAAGGCTTCTTGTTGTTCGGTTCAGGAGTTTTGTTCTTTGTTGGCTTCATAGTTGTTATGTTGGTGGGATGGGTGTTTTGTAAACTTATGTTATGCTATGCTTATTTTTGTTTTTCTTTGCTTCTATTTTGTTTTTTCAAGGAACTGGTTGTAGGCTACTTGGTTGCGAGAAGCTTTGGGAGAAATAAAAAAAAAAAGTACTCCACTAAAGGTTTGTTATCAAGGATTGGCAAATTGCCTAAATAACCACAAAATACTCTTAGAGAATTCATGTTGCAGTAGGATATAAGATGTCCACAACCGCTAAATTTTCCTATAAAAAATAACTGAATCATAGAACAATATAAACAAACTACTCGTGGGGGGATAGAACACTTCCCTTTTATATATAAAGAGGACTTCCTAAAGACAAAATACCGAGAGAGGTATGTTCAATCTGTGGTTTTTGAAGAATTTCTTGAGTACTATGCGCACTGTTTAGCTCTGAGCACTTCAAAAACTGGTTGTAGAATTCTTAAACCAAACCTTGTTTCCTTTGCCTTGCCTCCTCATTTGTTGGGGGATGGTCGACTTGTTGGTAATGAATTTGCTGTGAATGGTCCATCTGAGCCCTCTTCTGACCATGTTATTGTTTATGTGGCTACGGAGGATATTATTGGTGTTGACTCTGTTGTGAATGGATTACCCGAGCCTTCTAATGTCCCTGTTCTTGTGTCTACCCCGTCTGCTATCCGTGTTCTTGGCAATGTTTTGGATGACCTTGGGCCATCTAGCGTTAAAATTGCGGAGCCTATGGGTCCTGATTTGTCTATTGTTGTGGCTCTTATTGTTAATGCTGTTGTTAATAATTCTCCTGTAGCGTTTGTTGTTGATTATGCACCTGTGGCATAACTTGGGGGATCTGTTTCTGAGGGTGTTGTAGCTGGGGTTTTGCCTGCTGTTCAGGGCGCTCGGGGTTGTGCTAGTGAAGGTTGTCTTTTGGGTTGTAAAGTTAATTCTTTCCCTGTTTTAACTGATGAGGGTGCTAGGTCTGACCTTTGCATTTTGACTAGAACTGTTGAGCCTTGCGTGGTTGTTGAGCAATCAGATTCATCTGGCTCCCCTAGGGAATTTTCCCTTGGGTCTCAGGTGGTTTGCTCTTCGGTTAATTTGGGTGTGGATAAATCAGTTAATCAGGTTGGCGTAGGCTTGGTGAGCAATACTAACATTGTTAATATTCCTATTTTTGTGTTTTCTAACACTGAAATGCTTGATCACGTGGCTATGATGACTGGAAAACAATTAGTTTTGCTTCAAACAGATTGGTTAATTTTAGAGGATTACTTATCTTCTCCTTCTATTGGGGATGAAGAGGAGTTTTATGTGAGAAAAGAGGAAGTCGTTGTTCACCCTGTCGGTCGCGGTTCTCATAATGCGAGGGGTGGCAAAGCTAAAAGGAGAGGAAGGAAGTAATGCATTTGGCTTTATTCTTTTGTGAATGTGGTTGCAGCTTATTTTGGATGGTTTTGTTTGGCTGTTATCGACGGTTGGTTTCAAATTTGGCTCTTAGCACTATTGTTGTGGTTTTTGATGGTGTATTAGACGATGATGAGGAGACCCCTGCTTCCCCTTTGTGGCTAAGCTGGCTGGCAACTGGGTATCTCAGTATTGGTTGGATTGCGTTCGTTTTCTTCTACTTATGAATGGTCCGTTCTTGACTACTCGCCCCCCCTATAGGTCGAACAAAGAGGAAGATGTCAAAGGATTTATCATTCTCACCTAAAAATGCCAAAAAGTTTAGCAATTTCTTCAGATTTGTGAAGAAATTGCGAAATATTTTGGTATTTTTTAGGGTGTCAAAACGGGTCAACAGGTCGAGTTCAGGTCCAACACGAATTGACCTAGGTCTAAATAGGTTGACTCTAACCTGATTCGGTTTTGCAAACAGGGCAAGAATTCCAAATCGAACTAGACCCGCATGGGTTACTAGGTTGACCCTACCCGACCCATGAACCCAGGGTCTGCGCATGCGTGTGATGCACATATGGCATGGGAGCAAGCTTGCGCATGGACGGGTTGAGGACGAGGCTCCGTGTGGACTCGAATTGCTAGCACCTGACACCTGGCAGACGTGAAAGACTCGCGAGTTGTGCCACCATACTGGTGCGGAGTGCGGACACATGCGCAGCGCTGTGCGGGCGGATGCGGTAGGCTCGTGAGTAGCTGGCTAACGACATATTATGTTAGGCTCGCCGCTCGCACTTCGATGTCATTGTACCAGTGCGGTGGATGTGGGACGTGCTGTGCACTGCGTTGTGCGGGCAGATGGGGATGCAGTGGAGGCTACTACGCTTGCGACGCGAGCAACTAGCGGGTAGACGCATTAGGGTTTACGAGTCAACCCAGGTTAATTTCAGATTTTCGGGTCAACCCGAACCCGACCCAGTGTTGTAAATGGGTCGAAAAATTAAACCCGAACTTGACACGTCTAATAAACAGGTTGGCTCGAACCCATAATTTTACGGGTCAGGTCTGGATCAAATTTCAAGTCGGATCAATTATTGACACCCTTAATTTTATTCATAAAACAGAATTCTGCCAAACATTTTAGTGAATCATATATTTTCTAAATTTTATTTTTGTCACACTACTTCTTCTAATTTACTGTTTACTTACGCTACTTAAAAAATCCCCAACCCTCGCACGCTTGCAAACTCTCACATCATTAGCTCGGCCTGACTGGCCTACGAAATAAGAGAATGTATACATTCATAGCAGCAAAAACATATTTCCCGCAAAGTTTCAAATAGTAATCATAAAATTAAGGCATGCTACCCGAATAATTAATATATATTCAGTCAGAAACACATAGCCAATAATTAGTAAAAAAAATGGAGAGATATAATAACATATAGTTAATATTACATGCCCGAAAAATTAATATTTCTATATTTATTTTTGAAGACATTTCCGTCAATTAAAGTAAACTCATACACATAAGACATATATAAAACTCAAACCTAAGACTTATTAATTGATAGTCAAAATTCAAAATAACATACCAAGATGAGCTAAATATTATTGTTTTTAACTTCGCAGAATGCCTTCATAATGTCTAGTTCTCTACCTCATCCATTTGAATTCTATATAAAACAAAAGCCATATAACTGTTTTTTTTTTTCCATTAATTGTAGAATGAAGTATACTTTCATGGCTTTTAATGGCAGAATAAGTCTTCAAGTGAGAGAAAATAAAAGAATTTATCTAAATTTTAGCACGAGTGTTATTTTTATAATTTATATAATTATAAAAAAATTAAAGATTAAATTTGTATAGTGTCTATAATTATAATAATAAAATTTATGTTTTCATATGAGATAATTTTCTCACTATTTTTTTTTAATTTACTATAAACTTTTTTATGAAATCAGCAAAAAGTCAATAGTAAAAAATTGTCTCAAATTAAATTTAAATCTAAAAAAAATTAGAGTCACTTTAATCTCACTATACTTCCCAAAAATAAACAAATAAATAAAATTTTATTATTTATTATTTTCATTGATAGATTAATCAAAATGAAATGGCACATTATATTTTTATTAGTTCATCTAATCAAAAGTCTAAAAACTTACTTTTTTTTTTAAGTACAGACTATTTATTCGCTTGGTGTAAATGTTGTAATAATCAAGCTTCATTAACAAGTTGCTTTGTAGAGACCTTATTATCATTATATGCTTCTTGTACTATGAAACCAATTAATTAGGAGTAATTATGTCCTTGTGCTAAAAAAAAAAGCTATAAAAATTCCTTTCGCCTTTGGTTAGATAATGTATAATATATGCATATCACCAATCATTTATTTAAAAATTTAGAGACTTATTTTAACTTTGACTTAGCCAATACAGCAACTGAGCAACATCCTTAGTAAAATAGAAAAGTTAATTTTGAAAAAAAAAATTCTCTTAGGTGCTACAGTCCAGGAGAAATTATTCTGTGCGGTCTCCGAAAGATCCAGAAACGAATCAGAATGCGCCACATCACCTGATATCAAGAGGTACACAATAATGATACACAACAAAAATATAACTTGACACGTTCTCATTCGTCTCTCCATGTGATTCGGTGACAGCACAGTATAATTTTTCCCAGTCCAGATTAACATATTAATATTAAAAAAAAAAAAAAAAAACTTAACCTTTCTTCTAATCGGGTCTGTACACCTTTCTTCTAATCGGGTTTGTACACCTCATAACTTTTGCTTTCTAAGCCAAAAAAACTATTTATACTTTACAAAGGATTTATTAAAAAATAAACGCCACCAACTCCACCAAGCCAAGCCGAGGAAAAAAAAATCACTGATTACAGTGCAAAAATATATCTTCAATTCTTCATCATACAGCCACGAAATCCTCACAGCCAGCGACGGAATCATAGCTTCTTGTTGGCCTTCACAATCTGATTTATAAATAAAGTCTCTTGAAAATTTTCTTTTACCCCTTTCAAAATTTGAAGGAAAATTTTTTCTTGTAAGCTTTTTACAGTTCCTCCCATATACTCTCCAGATTCGGCCGCCAGACCGCCACACGTCCGCTCTGCCGCCGGCGGTGCCCAACCTTCTTTTCCCGCGTCTGCTCAGCCGCCACCATCTTCTCCTTAAAGCTCCTATTTTTCTTCTTCTTCTTCTCTACCGCCACTGCCGGAATTACGAAGTAGATGTGGCCGCGCCTGAGCTCAGCCTCCGGGGAAACGATGAGAATCCGATCAGAGGCGGCGACGCCCTGCGAACAAAGCTTGCTGATTACGTGACCGGGGTTCGCCGCCAGAATCTCGCCGGCGGTCACCGGGCGACTGAGCTCGTCCACATGGCCGTTGATGTGGACCACCCTTACGACGTCGAGGGCGCCACAGGGGAGAAGGCAGGCGACGCAGAGACGGAGGCTATTGCCCATTGTGTGTCCTCCCAACTCTTCTCTGCTATTTTTGGTCGATTAAAGTGCTGGATTTGTTTGTAAGATTGGTAATTTATATAACTGTAAGGAGTAGGGACGGTCAGCTGAATGGGTTAGACCGGAGGACAGCCTGCCAGGTTTGGTTACTCGAGTTTTTTCTTTGCTTTGCTTTTTTAAATTAATAATAGTGTGCGACTGTGTGGCCAAACCTTTTAGTTGAATTGTTTGATGGTAATTATTTCATTTATTTGAAGGGTATTTATCATTAAGATGGGAAATATTTTCAAAAAATTGTAAGAGGATTATAATTTGTATTGATGAAATTGGAGAGAGAGCGATTGATCAAGAGATGATTAAGGCTACGTTTGGGACGGCTATCTTACTGCTGCTTAAATCAATTTTTTAATAATTTTTTTAAATTTTTATACTAAAAAATTGTTCTAAGAATCAATAAAAAAGTCGTCCCAAACGAAACTTAAATTTTGGTGGAATTTTATCTATGTAATGAATGCAGAGTAACCGCTTCTCTCACGCTTGTGAAGGAATTTTTTTTTGTGTGTGTAAGTTGATCGAATGTTTTAAGGCAATCAAGCTTGCGGTAAGATCATCATTTTCGTTTCAGTTTTTATATAAGCAATAGTTTGTGAGCTTAGTCGGGAGGTAAAGAAGGACAACAACTTGCTTTGAACGTTGAAATTTAGGCTAAAATAGGAATGCACTATAAAAAAAGAATATATTATAAGAACAATATAATATAAATGAAATACATCAGAGGTATTTGAATGTGCAAAATAAATGCAGTTGATTTTTTTTATTTTCAAGTAAAATAAATGTAGTGTAAATTACAAAGTGGTGGTGCACGACGGATGACAATGATTGTGGTAGCCATCGATGGTGGTGGCAAGTGGCAGAGATAATGGGCCTGCGGTAGGTGGCGATGACATTTTGACAAGATGAATCCAATGAGCCCAAAATCATTCGACTATGTTATCACTAAGTCACTCAAATATTGGATAAATAATTTGATGATTAAAGATAGCATATGGATTGTTTGATGGAGTATTTTAGATTCTAGTCAGAGTTATCAAAATGTTCATATCAAAAAACTATAAATAGACCTTATTTTCTGCGTGACGAGGGTTCGAGAATTATGAGACCTAAAGAACTTTATTGTAATTTTCTTTGATCATTGATGGAAACCACCAATAGCAATCGTTATTTATACATCTCCAAAAAATTGCCTTGATCATGCAAAAATCTCTATGCAAATATGAAACATAAACTTTCATAATTAAATTTGCGACCATCCAAACTTCAATTTCAGAAGCTCATAGTCAAATTGAACATTTTAAGGAGATGAATCCAATGACACCAAATTGGATCCAATCCGAGCCCAAATAGCCAAATCAAAGTTCCAAAGTCTATTTGAAAGCTTCAGATCATAAATTGGACTATCAAATGATATCCAAATATGACTCGCTTATAGTCAAATTGAGCGGCTTGATGAGACGAATCTAATGAGCTCAAGATCTTCAATTTTCTGATATCACTAAGGCACTTAAATGCTTAATAAATCCTCTACGATAAAGGGGGTCACTATGAGTAGTCTGAAATAATACTCCCAACATGCCCTTGATCTTCTCCATATTTAATTGTCATACCTATCCCAAAAAATTATAAATATACCTCAATCCTTCACATAAGTGGAGGAGAGAAAGGAGGAAAATGAGGAAGAGAGGAGGAGGAAGAGAATATTTGGAAAGCTATCTTGTCGTCGACCACCACTAGAGTTCTTCTCGATCACCGTTAGAATCCCTCTTGACCACCGCCAAAGTTCTTCCCGACCACCTTCGAAAGTCTTTTCAACCACCGCCGAAATTCTTCCTGGCCATCACCATAATTTTGCACCAATAGTACCTATTTGAAGATTGACAAAACTTTTCAATACATTACACTCTCCTTGTCCTCGGGTTAGAGGATGGATTGACTTTTGAATCTATTCCAATTCTAGTGTAACCGTTTCAACTAGGCAAAAAGGCCCCATGGTTTTTCCCTTTCTCAGGATTTTCAACAAAAAAAAATCCTTTTATCATCTGATTCTGTGTTGAACTTTCGTACATCACTAAAATAGCATTTTTCACTCTATCATCACAAATCAGCCCGCAATAGTTATCACTACCTCTCGACTTATGTCCTCTGACTATTATCACTTAACTATTAACATCCCACCAAATTGTTGGACTTCAGTACATCTATGGACAATAGACTTATGCAGTTCCTACAACGGGAATCTCGTCTCCCTTAATTACAAATAAAAATGAATTAGTGTCCCTATTATATAGTGAATTATTATAATTGGGTCAAGCCCATTATTTTTTTTTTCCCCCTTTGGTGAATACTCAAATAAAAAATTATGAACTCTTTCAAATTTTATCTTCGAGTGCTAAATTTTTGTGCATAGTAAGATATTAAACTAATCTTTTTTAAAAAAAAAATAAAATAATATGTTTTTACAAATATTCATAACGATTTTAAGTATTTTGAATGCTATAAAAAACAATAACCACTGACGACCACTATTATTGTCGGCATCAACAATCATTGTCACCGTTTTCATATTTTCTTTCATTTCAAAATTTATAAAATTATTAAATGATCTCAAATTAATTTCAATATAATTTATACATATTTTTCCCTACCACTCGTGGGCATAAAGCATGATTTCAATATAATTTATAAATAAATTATACAAAATGAAAAACCACTAATTTTTTATGTACCTATGGCCACCCTGGCTTTTCCGAGAAATTATTTTGTGCTGAGTTCAGATGCGTCCGAACTCCAATAAAAAATGACCACATCACCTATATCCGGGGTATCTATTATACACACCAGGTGTAAAAAAAATTGTACAAAGGCTATTTACAAGCGACGTGGCTGATTTTGATTGGAGTCCGGACGCCGGCTAGTTTAGACTCCGCACAAAATAATTTCTCATGTCTCTCTCTCCCTTCTATTAATTATAGCATGCCCAGTACAGATTACAGGCATACCAATTTCTAAAAATATTGATGCAAATAAAAAAAATGTCCAGATGCATTCGATATAAATCTGATTTCATTGCAAGACTAGTTATGTACATAGCTCATCTTAGTCTTCTAGTTAGGGTGAGCGATTATTCTGTGCATACGCCAAACGCAGTTCACCGTCCGGAGACCAACCACGTTAGTGGTACCGAGCGGTACTGAGCCGCGGTATCGAGCAATACCAAGTTAGGTACCAAGCAGGGGATGATGTGCTGCATTCTAATTAGTCTCGAGACAACGTTCGACATCTGCATAGAATAATTTCAACTATTTAAGATGCTTGATTATAAATTAGATTCGAGTGAGCACGTGACTTGTGTGAGTTGCTCTGAATCGGCCAAACTGTCTAAGAAAAAAGCTAGTTCCGTACGCAAGTCGTCTCAGGCGCATTTAATGCATGACAAGCCTGATCAAGTCATCTTAGTTGGCCATATGCCATTTTCTTCTACTAAATGTATTGTCATTGTCGCTACATACATTTTGTTCTATATGTTACTAAAAATTTTATTAGCGTATTCTGATAAAATATTAATTAGGATTAATCTTAATATAATTATATTTATTTTAAATTGAGTGTAAATTATATATTTCATTTATTTTGAAATAAATTTGATAAAATTAATAATCATCTAATTAAAATATTTTAACCCAAATTTTTTTATAAAAAAAATGTAATCATCAATACTATTTATTTTGAGTAAAAATTCACTCGTCTTAGTAGAGCTAGGATCAAGCTATAGTCTAACCAGCTTGATCAAATGGATTGACCTGACCTGTTTATGTGCCTGGGTAATATTTTAGCATTGGGTTACCGGTGACCTGATCAAAACATATTCATGATGAACTTTAAAGCTCTTGAATTTGCTTTTGAGATATGTGAAATATATAATAATTTATATTCCATTCATTTCAAAGCAAATTGTTTTAAAGCCCAACTTGTCCTAATATTTTATTAAGATATTATGACATAATTTTTTTCTTATTAAAGATCATCGACATGATCGAATTAACCTGACACGATCTAACCTGCTCCAACTAGATTAATGCCACCTGTTATCACAAGTTTGCCTCTGTTACCACAGTTTAATCTTGCAACCGATTTGTCAAACAGAAAGATAAATTCTTTTTAACAAAGAAAAAAATTATGTAAAGATATTCCATATGTTTTGTATATTAGTATTACTATTATATCTAGAAATTTTGATATTCATTCAAGATTAAGGCTTCGTTTGGGATAGCTTTTTTGCTGCTTATTGAAGTAGTTTTCTAGTACAAAATTTTAATTTTTATACTGCAAAGCTGATTCAAGAAGCAATAAAATTATTGTCACAAACCAAGCCTAAAATAGATAAGAAACTTCCATAATTTTTATTTTTTTTTACTTTTTATCAAATAATAGTTTGTCCCACTTTCAAATCAATTAAATAGATTAAGCACATATAACCCATTTTGATATGTTGGTTGAGAGCTAAAGCTAACTAAGAAATCTTGAGTTCAAAACTTATATATGTGACGTGTCTGTGAATTTACATTTAAGCTTCGTTTGGAATAGCTTTCATATTGTCTTATAAACCCTAGTACAAAATTTAAATTTTTATACTGCAAAGCTAATTCAAGAAGCAATAAAAAAACTGTCACAAACCAAGCCTAAAATAGATAAGAAACTTCCATAATTTTTATTTTTTTTTACTTTTTATCAAATAATAGTTTGTCCCACTTTCAAATCAATTAAATAGATTAAGCACATATAACCCATTTTGATATGTTGGTTGAGAGCTAAAGCTAACTAAGAAATCTTGAGTTCAAAACTTATATATGTGACGCATTTAAGCTTCATTTGGAATAGTTTTCATATTATTTGTAAAACAGTTTTTTACTTAAAATTTTTTTGAAAGAAAACTTTATCTAAAAAACTGTTTGAGAAAGAAATAAAAAAAGCTCTCCCAAAAGAAATTTTAATCTGCTCAAAAATCCATTAATCCCCATCAAGCCTCCTAGATTCCCGGCAGATATCTTATATAATCACCTCCCACCTTAATACTAATCTCTATTAAAAACAACTAATACCTAGCAATGATGCAATTACAGGTAGGTAACAGGGAATAAATTTGCACTAATGGGACCGACCGCTTTATTCGTTGTGAGGACTCGATCGTAATTAACCAAAAAATACGGTGGCTCGTGCGAGGATTAACCGTAGCATGTGTACGGTTGATTTTGCACGTGAGAAGGGGGAACGAGGAAACGTCCTCGCACGTGGATTCCTTCACCGACCATCACAGCTAGCAAGGACGGCCGTGATATGTACTCTTGTGCTCCAGGGGCGCATGGGCCCCACCTTATCCAACGGTGGAAAGGAGGCGAGGAGCTATTTAAGACATTTTATAAAGGGGCGATTTTGTCAAGGTGGAAAGACGACAAGAAAGTTGAGAAAAAAGAGGAGAGTGGAGATCGGATCGATTTATGCGAACCCAATCGCTTGACTCAGTGAGTCAACTCTCACTTTTTGTCTCGCTCGATATAATTGTCGGCATTACGTTTTTTTTGTTTTTAGAGAATTAAATAATACCAATTATTTGGGCCCCACCACCTTTGCCATTTAAGGGAATAAATAACAATAGAGATTTAGACTTTGTGTAGAGGGGTAAACTATTCGAGTATCTATTTAATTGAGCTAAATTTGTTTAACTGTTACATTTAGTAAGTTCGAGTTCGACTCGTTAAAAAATTAATAGGCACGTGCTCGACTTGATTGTTGAACACGTTTAGAAAGCTCGAACTCGACTCGATTGTTGAGCTTGATTTCTAAGTTTTAAATTAAAAATTTTAGTTTTATAGAATTATTTTTTGATATAGAATTAATTTAAAATTATAAAATATATTGTATAATGTAAATTAAAATTAATTATTATTTATATTTTAATTTAATCGAGATGCTTAACTAGCTTTTGAGCCGAGTTAGGCTTGAGCTCGGGGTTGAGCTCGTTTAATATATGAGCTCAAGTATAGGCTCAAGTTCTAATTCGTTGCTCAATAAATTTGACTTGTGAGCTCGTTAATGAGTCGAGCGCAAGCCAGGTCGTGAGCCGACTTGGCTCAATTACACCCCTAGCTTTATTTGGTACGATTTTTTTACTATTTTTAATGTAACTTTTTAGTATAAAAATTTTTAGTTTAAACTATTTTACTAAAAAAATATTTTTAAAAAAGAAAAGAAAGCTATCTCAAATAGGACCTTAAGGTATGTTTGGGACAAATTTTTATCTGCTTTGCTCCTCACATGATAATCACAATTTAATTTGATTGTTATTTTTTGTTATTTTCTCACTACTTTAATTTGATTATAATTTTCTATGATGAAAAGCTATTTTTACAATCATAATAATTTAATTGTTCTTCTCACAATAACTTCATCATAATTTTATAAAAAATTATAGCCGTCCCAAGCTGACACGTAAAATGAAAATATGTGCATCAATTATTCTAGTGATAACGGTGTGATTTCATTTTAAATAAGTGAATTACAGTGTATGCATTTTTTTTTCATCTCTCAAAGGAAATTTATATGTTTTTCTAGTTGATTGTGCACCTTTTTTTTTTTTTTTTTTTTTTGGTCTTCCCAAAAATTTTTATTAAAATATTGATGTCAATCGGTATATTTTTATAAAAAAAATATTTGAAATGCATGAGTTCCGTTTTCTTATGTAGTATATGGGATACATCAGCAGTTTTATTATGAAAATTTTTACGTAAACATTTGAGTAATTTGATGGGAATCATACACAAAAAATAGTAAAAGTATAGAAAAATAGAGAAATTTATTGATAATTAGGTAATTTAGTTTGTCTAAAACCCCATAAAGAGAGAGAAAGCTTTGGGCAATTGCATGATGCCCTAATCTAAATATTCGAGAATAAAACACATTGACCCACTAATGCCCCTACCCTTTCATAATTATCATAGTCTCCTCGCCGAGCAAATATTCTAGTAGAACGAAAGCGTAGTCTTAGAAATAAAAAACCTCAAAGAGTTAAAAATGTGGAAAAGTTATTACGTCCGGACAAAAAATCAAAAATCCGGATAAATACCGAGCAATATCGAGTGCTCAGTACCGAGCACCCAAGTGACGTGGTGCTTTATTATTGGTCTCTGGATGCGTTCGGTGTCCGGACACAATAATTACTCTAGAAATGTGACCGGCAAAGAAGGCCTGAAATCCCTAGAGTTGAGAAATGAGGAATATGAAGAAAGATTTTGTATCTAGAGGGATAGACTATCGCAAATGATAAGCGCCAGCATTGAGAGTAAGGTCGAGATTTTAGCTTAAAAATTGAATCGATTTATAGCACAGATCAAGCCAAATGAGCTGAGACTCAAACCAAATTTTTGAGCAATAGGTGGATCAGCTCAAATTGGCTCAAAATCATATTGAAAATATTTTCTTGCTCATAAAATTTAAATTTATTCATGTATAATATGTTTTTTATGTGACTATTAATGAAATGATGGTTTACTTAAGTGATATACCATGTGATAATTAACTCCTTTTAGCTTTTTACATTGGCCCTATATTTGATCCAGCTCAAAACTAAAATAGTTCGGATCAAGATCATTCAATTTTGATCCAAGCTTGCTCAAAATTGAATCATCCATAGCCCTAACTGTGAGGAAAGAAATGGTTTATACAAAGATCAGTGCTCGCACCATCGAGGAACACGAGCCTAGAAAAGTTACTATGAGTTGTTAGATTAAGATTTCATTTGTGACAACATTCTAATTGCATTCTAAAATAGCCTTTCAGTACAACTTTTTTTAAATAATTTTTTTTTTTACTAGAAAGCAAGAAGAACGCTGCCTCAAACGAAACCTAAGACTTCATTTGAGATGATTTTCTTATTGCTTCTTAAAGTAGCTTTCTAGTATAAATATTCTAAATAGGAGGGGGGAACTACAGACCGTCAAAATAAGGGGGGTTTGAAGTTTGAGAAGACGGGGCTTTTTTATTTTAGTAAATTATTTTTTATATTATTTATATTAAGATTATTTTTTAGCCATCTAATAAAAAAAAAAAGAATGGTTGTACTTTAATTATTAAATAAATCATATTTTAATCAAATCAAAACTTGTTCACCAATATAATTCACACTCTAACAATCGATTCATCCCGATTCTTGGGGAAATGAGTTTAATAGTGAACTAAACCTACAGATTTGATATGATTTTCTTGCCCTTGAAAGCATATATTTATTAATTTTCAATAAAAAATATTATTAAATTTTATCCATGCCATTTTGTCTCCTTATCTATTTTTCCCCTAATTTTAATAGCATTCAAGGAAAAACAATTTTTTAAAAAAGAAAGTTTAATAACAACATTATTAATTTTCTAATGTTACTAAATTTAAAGACAATTAATATTAATCTATAAATGAAAAACTATTTGACACTCTTAATTTAGTAAGTTCTAATCAAAATTTGGTTCATGATCAAGTTTGATGAAAAAAAATATTTCACTGATAATATCTGCCATTTCCATATAAACTTTCTATAAATCCAAACAATTAAAACATTCTGAATGGAATTTTTTTCTCCATATTCACACTTTTTATTTGATTTGAATACTCGCAGAATTAAATTAATCAATCATCTTTCTAGCTTTACCATCCATTAAAACGAAAAATTATTCAGCGCCGTTCGGAGTTGAATTAGAGCGTGCCATATCACCATTTTGCTGTGTACCGTTATGTACCAAGTGACATGACATACTCTGATTCGCCTCCGGATGATTCAGTGTGCAAACATAATAATCTCTCCATTAAAATAGTTCATTTTAAAATGAGAGAGAGAGAGCAGGGGGGTCATATGGAGATGCAGAATTTGTCTTCATCAGACACTAATCATATAATAAATAGAACTGCATCTATAATAGAATGGGTACACAACTCTCCTTGGCCTATTGGTTGAGAGCTAAGGCTTCCAACTAAGAGGTTTAAGGTTCGAGTCTATGTGTATGCATTGTGTGTGTGAGTTTGCCTTAAATGACCTAAATGTCCCAAAAAAAAAATAATAGAATGGGTGACAACTATTTTCAATATAGTTTGAATCTCTTCTATTTCTATCTCACTTGCCAATGAGTCCATTTCTTCTTTTTCTTTTTCCCAAAAAACAAGCATTGGCCAACAAACTTTGTTGGAAAAAAAAAGTGAGCTTTCACATAAAGAATAAAGGGCAAAAGCCCTCATGTTGTTACAGTATTTATACGTCAAGGTTTCGTTTGAGACAATTTTCTTATTATTTTCTGAAACAGCTTTTTAGTACAATTTTTTTTAATTCAAAAATTTTATATTAAAAAACCGTTTTAAGAAACATTTAAAAAGTTGTCTCAAACGAAACCCAAATCTATCTTTTATGCTCCTTGAACTTAACTTTGAAACCACAAAAAAAATACATTATATACCCAAAAAAAAAACAGAGATTCTACAATATGCCAAACCAGCTGCATCACATTGTAAATTCAGCAAAGACAACAATAGTATCGAATCCTCTCATATTTGTTGGCTTATGGGATCTGAAACTTCGATGCCTTTGAGTTTGTGAAGTAGAGCTGTTGCATTTTCTTGAAGAACATGCGAGGAATGTAAAAGAATATATCAGCTTGGAAGGCAAAGCACCATCATGCTTAGGCCGCAAATCAAATTAAAAAAAATTACGTCTTTACTTCATTCCATAAAAGAGAACAGTAAAAAAATATATATAATAAAGAAAAATATCCTTAATAATAGAAATATATTATAATAATTATTGTTATAGTTTTTTATAATAAATATAAACATTTATTAACATGGTGTGATAACATTTTTAAATATAATAGCTTAAATCTAACAAAAAATGAAAGCTTCTATAACCAACTGGAAACTTACTTGGTCTCGGTAAATCAGCAAGGAAAAAATGGTTTTGTATGCTCTAATCCATTGTAAGTTCCGCCAGAGTTTGCGAGCATATCAGCTATCGCCAGATTGGTTACTATTTTCATCGACAGTTTCTGCATTTGTAGAGCTGCATTCCAACAATGGGGAATCAGTAGATTCAGAAACCATATTAGGACTCCCACTACTCTTTCTTGGTTGCAATCCACTGAAACGCGCCAGATCAATCCATTGCTGCAACAGAAAACAGCAAGAGAAATAAAGATTGTGAAGAAATAGATTCCTGAACAAGAATTAAAGCTTGCAATAGAACAAGAAAATTTCTTCTATGTTCTGTAAGCATACCGTCTTATTCTAAACACGTAAATGAGCATACTGCAGAATAATATCAAAATAAAAGAAGCTGCTAATTCATAGATTGGTGCCATTGGAACTATCTTCATTGAGCATTACTTGCATCATGTACTAATAAAACAAGTACTTCATGTAAAATAATATATACATTTTATCAATCAGCTCGGATATTTTTAAAGTGAAGTTTCAGGCTTTCAGCATAGTAATCATTCACCTAGATACAATCAAATTCTTCTATAATTAAGCAGCTGATTCTGTAGTTATTATTTCTTTATTAAGACATCTTGTATAGATCTATAAACAGGAATAATTTGGTATAATAAAAAAAATCATTTTCGCTATCCAAATCTTTGAATTTAACATGAGTCAACAAGGATTTAAAGTTTGAGCAAGCAATAGCGTTTAAAAATGATCCTTCTTTGATATTAAAACTATATTGCCAAGCGGATGCACCTCTAAGCCTCAATGTACTTATTTCTAAATTTATATTAGTTTTTGTGCAAGTTAGCACATATTCGCGTGTATCTAATTTTGGCATCAATGCTTCTACTAGCAGCATTGGGAAGTGTGAAAAGTTTTTTTTTTTAACAAGGATGTTATTTACTTTCAAGAGATTTTAAGATTTTTCTTGATGTTATACAATATTTCTCTGCCAACCTTCTGGAGAGATACCACCACCCGTAATATTAAAGGAGAGTTTTTACCACCTGGGGAAATTGATTTTGTATGCTATTTGATTAAGAATGATGAGGATTTTCTTTATGCATTTATATTAATTAAGAATTAGCTTTTTTTTGTTATTTCTATTTTTATGAGGATCATAATGTGATGAGCCCCACATGGTATTTTGGACTTTCAATTAACTTACTAATTTTATAAATAACCTCTTATCTCTATTAAAAAGTTAACAATAATGAGTTGATTAAAAATCTTATAGCTCACATGTTGGCACCTTTTTTTTTTTCCTTGTTCTTGGAGGATTCAACAGTTTAAATGTTTAAAGGATTCAGTATCTGCAGCTTAAGAATTCCACCTAGTATCATTTGTTATAAATTCCTATTGAATCTACAACTCCACTGGCTAACCAACATCATAGTGCTTGTGAAAAGTGCCAACGTGTAGTAGGAGTATCAAAACCTGTGTAACATTGCTAAAGTATCATGAACAGTGTCATACTGATATGGTGCCAATGAACAGTTATGCAACATTAATTTTCTTCAGATTTGTTAAAAACGCATTAGCATATCTACTTTCCATCAAATCTGCATCAGGAGAAAAAGTTCAATTTGGTCCCCAAATAAAACTTGCATGCATCCAAAGAGGATCTCAACAGTTGGCAGGACTTCTATATCAATCTAAACAAAAGATAAGAATAAATATGAGAAGTTGTGATTTGCTGCTAAAATAAGTGGATGTAATGGTGTAAAATATACGAAAGTTTCATCGCTGAACAACTTGCATCAAAAAAGACTTTAGCAATAGGTATTGAATCACCAGGCAACAGGACAATTAAAAACAAGATAAGACAACATAGCCATAGAAGATCCTAACCTGCGTTCCCCAGTATGAGTTGACAGTCCGAACAAAGAAAGACAAAATATTTGAAAGTAGAGGATTATTATAATAAGATAGTAGATAGTCCGAAAGCCTATGCTCCACAATTCCTGCAATAACCTGCAGCACATACATTTTTGCATTATTTACACATAATAACAAATTCAGATACAAGAAAATAATTTTGCAAGTTTGAATTTTAAAAGGATGCACTTAACAAACATTCTTCAGACATAACATATTTGAAGAATTCTTATACCAATTATTAGGTGATCAAAAACCACAAAACTAAATGCAATACAACAAAGGGCTGAAGAAATAAATGGCATCAAAATTAATCATTGTATTCAAATATTACTAATCTCATCTTCACTGGATATTGAATCCCATACAAATAATAAGTAGGGCTGCTCATGTAGCTTGATGATTGCAAACTCGCACACATGCAGCCATACTCAATAGATGGTTTAAGTTCTACTCATTCAGTGCCTAATTGAGTTGATCTCACGCAGGCCTTGGAAGACAGTAATCTCAATGAGCTGAAAAGGAACATCTATAGAAGTATGGCATCATTGTTTATAACTTGTTCCTATAATAGATGCATCATTGCATACAATTATAGAATAGCTATAATACATCATAATGAAAAGTATTACATCATTGCATAATATCTAGATAATCAAAATGAGAAGTACAAATTTATAAAAAATAAATTACAATGTTCTTATAGTACCAAGGTGAGTACAATCACAACAACTATAACAAAACAAATAAAAACTTTGATATAACTAAGTATAGCCCTATATCTATGACACAATGTAGTTTAATTATCTCTCTTGTGTCTCAGATGAGTGTTTAAATACTTATTACTAAGATAAGAATGGATCTTTATAATATCTAATTGCATAGTGATTATTTCATTTGTGCCTGTCCCTAGTAACTTTTAGGAGAAGAAAAATCCCATCACTCTGCATATATCTATTAATGGAGGAGAAGCCAAAACCTAAATCATAGATACCAAGCATGATGAGAAATGATTTAAAAGAATGGATTAAAAGAAGCAATAGGTAATAATAAGGGTTGTAGGTTGTACTACTCTAGAAATTGTTGACCATGTACAATGAAAAATTTAAGGGTGTAATAAATGTTGTCATTATGACAAAACTTCTCCCAGACTAAATCTTCTAATTATTTAGAAAGAGTACAGCCTAATGGTACATTTATAATTTATAATAGGCATAGGCAAATACAAACAAAATATGGAAACTTAAAATTTTGATTTCCAACTGATTATAACCGCCACCCATTTTTCACCATTTTACTTTTCGCCCTTCTATATTCCTCCCCATCTTCGTCTTTAATATAGGACGAAAATGAATGAATATATATATATAAAGAGAACATAAAAAATGTAGATGAACATAACAAATAGTGCTTCGGTCTTTGATCTCCATAATCAATCAAAGATGACAAAACAAGAGGAGTCCACAGACAATCCTACGCCATAAATCCGCACTTAGTGTTTGAATCTCCTATTCATGGATACTCTTTTGCCATGAATTAGATCTTCAAGTACAAAAGAGTTCATCTCATATTCAAAGTCATAGGAACTATATTCCAAAAATAATATCAAATTTTTCCTCCTTAAAAGCAAGTATTTTACATGACAGGAGACTCCCTATTTTGCAAGAATAAGAGGGAGATACCAAAAGAGACTAAATAAATATTCTAGCATGCCCCAAATATCCATACTAACCACTAAAATCAATCCTATAACGTAAACTTATATATAAAACCATTTCCATGTCTACCACCAAACCCAATACATAAAAGCTCAATATGACCCACAAAATAAATAAAAAAAATGCCCAAAGACAAATAAAGCCCAAAATATAATATGGCTTTATTACATACTCGACTCTCTTACAATGATGATATTATTAGTTATATATAATCTAATACTTTCACAAACAAGTCATCCAAAATGCCCTACATCCTCTCCAACTTTAAAAAAATTCAACATCGTAGAATAAGCTCCAAAACATAAGAAGATACACCATATCATCAAGCTCATCAAGCTAACCTTGTGATAGACCGGTCCAGCCGGCCCAACACTTGGGCCGGCCCCTTGCATACAACAGGCGTGAGCTTGTTGTTTCCACCCCTGGTGGGCTCCACCCCCTCCTATGGGGCCCACGAATTAAGTAGAGAGCATACATGTCAATGACACAAAATGGCGTGCAACATGCGCAGTGCACATATTCAAGTTAGCCCTGTCATTTGCGCCATGTGTGTGCAATGGCGCAATTGCGCACAACTACAAACATATTCAACCAAGCCTTACCCAACTTGATTGATACTCTAAAATAAGATTCATATAATGATTTCTATAATTATTTTCTATTTTGAGCCTTGTTCAAAATGGCGCGTGCTGTGTTGTGCACTATGCGCCATGCTGCGTCATTCACCATTGACAAGTATGGTAGAGAGAAAAAAAGGGATTAAGAGGAAAAGTTTGAATTAGGAGGGCTGTTTAGTCCTTTTGGGAGTTATTTTTGTGCTTTATGTAGTAGGGTTGGATTAGGATTAGGATTATCTTGAGTTTTTTTAATTTTCGAGATGCTTTGGTTTTCTTGGGCTCTAACGGTGTTGAGAGATTTGCGAGAGATAAACCATACTCTCAAATTAAGGATCAATTTATCTTATTACTTTCTTTCATCTATGATTCAATCGAGGGTGTGTTTCTTGTTTTTACTCCATTAAATCATCAAAACCTGCTTGGCGAGATTGTTGAAATTCTAATTTCAGTAATCATTTTTTGTTTCTATGATTATTTCCTATCAAATTGGTATTATGGCAACTTTCTGGGGCTGTTTGAGCTTATTCCTGCAACAATTTTTTTGTCCGAACAATTGTTTTTTGATGTTTTTAGAGTGGAAATATGAATTTTTAAGTCTAACAAAGATCTAGGTATCAATGGCCGCCAAGAAGGAGGATGCGTTGAAAGAACGTCTTGAGGGGGAGATACCAAATCAAAGCAATGATAGAATTTCCTCCATGGAAAAACAATTCTCTGACCTACGTGACATGATGAAGAAGATGTTGGATCTACACAACCAAACGGCGGCATCGGAGGCGAGAGGGCTAGAAGGAAAAATACAAATTATGAAATTCATAAGGATGAAAATGATGTGGAGATCGTAGAGGGAGAAGGGAGAAGACCACAATTGGAACCCTTCCAGATGGAGGAAAGAGGTGAAAGGTATAGAGAGAGGCATGGACTAGTGGGGTATGAGCAAAGGGGTGATGATTGGGAAAGGAGGGAGATTATGGTCGAAGAGGTGCTGATTTTGAAGGAATGAGAGGGGAATTCGAAGAAGGGTTTGGGTATGAATGTGGAAGGGAGCATCGGGACACTTGGAGAGGACCAACCATTTGGGGAAGGTTAAACTATGGATGAATTAGAGGAAATAGAGGGGATCTGAAGTTCAGGAAGATGAAAATGCCCATCTTTGAGGGGGACGGTGCACATGGGTGGATTTACAAGGTAGAGAAATATTTCGCTGTCAATGGGTTTACAGAGAATAAGAAATTGATAGCAACTAGCCTATGTTTAGAAGGGAAGGCGTTGGCTTGGTACCAGTAGAAAGATATGAGGCGACCCATACGAAGTTGGAGGGAGTTCAAAGAGTGCTTATTGGAACGTTTCTGAACTGGCAAGGGAGGGGACTTCTATGAACTGTTCTTTTCCCTAGTACAGGAAGGCACGGTGATAGAATACCATGAGAGATTTGAGTATCTGGCAAGTCGACTTGATCGGCTGTCTGAGAATATTATGGAGGAAATTTTATGTTGGCGCTCAAATTAGAGATGTGAGCAGCAGTGAGAGTCATGAGGCCTTGATACTTGGGAGAGGCTATGGAGCTAGCTCAGCTCGTGGAGGTTCAGAAGTACCAGGAGAGGGGAGCCATAGGCGACAGTTCGGGTGGTTGATACAGATGACCACCACTTTCGTAGCACTCAAGGGACCTACACCGGGCAACCTTTGTGAGTTCCCGGGGGAGAAACCTCTAGGAGGAAGTGGGAAAATTTTCAAAAAGCTGACTGAGAGGGAATTGCAGGAAAAGAGGGCAAAGGGATTACGCTTCTGATGTGATGAGAAGTATAATCAGGGGCGCAGGAGCAAAGACCTAACTCTTTAGATTCTCACCGTCTGTGATGACGACGAAGCTGAGGGAGGTGGGAGTAAGACTGAGGTAAAGGAGGAGGAAAAGCTGCATCTGGATGTGGCAGAGATCTCCTTGAACTCAATGGTAGGATTCATTCCTAGTCATACAATGAACGTGAAGGGGGAAATAGTAGACCGAGAGATGGTAGTGTTGATCGACAGTAGGGCTACCTACAATTTCATCTCCAACCAGGTTATGGACCAATTAGGGGTGACTTAGGTGGATGCATAGAGCTATGGAGTGGTGATGGGCACGGAGAAGGTGGAGATGGGCAAGGGCATCTGTAGGGAGTAGTGTTGACCATGCAGGGAATTTAGGTAATGGAGGATTTTCTCCAATTAGAGTTAGGCAGCACTGATGTAAGGTGTTCCGACCCTATCTCAGGAGATTTGTATTGGTTTACTTTATGATATCCTGGTATACAACAGGTCAAATGAGAAACATTGGGAACACTTGAGGATGGTCCTAGAGGTGTTACAGTAGCAGCAGTTGAGGGCAAATTTGAAGAAATGTTGCTTTGCACATGTTAGTGTGGAGTACTTACATGTAGTATCTCAGGAGGGTATGGCCACGGATCAGACTAAGACCGAGGCAATACTGAGATGACCACTATCAAAGAATCTGAGATAGCTGAGGGGATTTCTAGGGCTGACAGGATATTACAGGAGATTCGTGAGGGGCTATAGCATCATTGTATGGCCACTAACAGAACAGTTGAAGAAGGATAACTTCTTGTGGGGGGAGGAGGCTACAAGAACTTTTGAGAGGTTGAAGAAGGTCATAACCACCATACTGATCCTGGCCCTACCAGATTTCAGTCAAGTTTTTGTAGTGAGGACGGGCGCATCAAGGTATGGATTGGGAGAAGTAATCATGCAGAGTCACCAACTC